CTAAAATCGATATAACTTACAATGGCACAAAATTGGAAGTTGTAGATGAGTACCCACTGTTAGGCTTAGTGATAGACACCCATATAAATTGGAAATCACATATAGTTAATCTTAAATCCAAGCTGTCTAGATTCGCCTATGCCCTTCGCGAGACTAAAAAATCCACAGATGAGCAGACTGCAGTAGTAACTTATNATTTACTGCGTTATTGTTATGGAAATTTAGATATTTTAATGTTGCAATATTTTACATATTTGTACATAATTTCTTCATTTTTAAGAGAAAAATTATGAAAAAAATTGACAATATGTATTACCTCCTTCTCGACTTTTTAGTGCAATAAAAAAAATATCGCACAAGTGGACTTGCATACTTCTTCCAGGGGGGGTGCGATATGCTCACTCGTGGTTGAATTATGGTGTTATTTTGTGGGGTAATAGCACAGACGCAGCATCCTTGCTAATTCTACAAAAAAAGTTAATTAGAATTATAGCAAACATCCAACCAATGGACAGCTGCAAACCTTACTTTCGACGATTAAAAATTCTAACATTATGTAAGCATTTTTACTGTGAAATAGATGTTAATTGGAAATTAAAATGTATATTGTTGTTTTAATAATTAAATGCGGGTAAGCGAAATAATAAGTTGGAATGTGAGTTATGTCAGTTGAAATGCGCTCGGTTGCTAACGGTTGTTTTCGGTCTCGCGCGATCCATTCTGTTACGAGCGCTCGAGTCGAGAGGACCTCTCTGTGTGATACCGTCTGTAGAAGAAAATAAAACTGGTATTGTATAATTGAGTATTATTTCTGGCCTTACTTCTGAACTAATATTACTTTAGTTCAGAAGTGGGATTGAACGGGAATATTACTTAATATTCTAATCACGCCCACGGACTGGACAAGTAAGTTAAAAAGTTTGGTGAAAATATAAGGTGAGTGACACATTTTTTTTTTCTTATTAAATCCGTAAGAATCTTNTCATTAACGATACACACACCACAGATTCTCAGCATCATTATCAACCGATAAATATTTAAAGGTAAACAATCGTTCTGCCAAGAGCGAAGCGCCTTAGTACGTGCTGAGAGACGAACTGGCACCAGATTAACTCGTTTAGCACGGCGACATGCGTCATTGGATTGCTTAAATAAATCGGTTGATTCGGTCATTATTAATCATTAAATTCACTGCATATTTGTAGTGTTAATTGTAACATCTTTAGTTATTTAGGCCATATTTAGTTGTCATTTATCATCATCACCAGGTCATAAAGTCTTCACTACAGACGGATGACCGACCAGAGGATTTTTTTATCCACAACGAGGAAGCTCTTGGCCTGTATCTCACATGATGGGTGATGCAGGCCGAAGGTTAAAGCGAACTTCACCCGGAATCCTCAACCACGGAGGAACTGGCTACCTAACCTCTAACTGCCGGAATACAACAATGATGTTAACATTGTTGTTATGTCGACAGACTTAGGTAAGATGGTGGTAGCTAGCCAGGCGGACTTAGAACAAGCCCTACCACCAACCAAACCGAACAGAAAAATCTGCCCCCACTGGGAATCGAACCCGGGACCTCTGCGTCTGAAGCAGCTGGTCTTACCACTAGACCACAGAGGCAGTTAGGATTTCGCCTCTCAACGCTGCAGCGCTGGCCAATCGTTTTGGGGAGGTCTATGCGCATATTTCTGCCTTGACGAGAAGAATCATTTATCCCAATTGAATCTTTTCAGAAGAAAATAATTAACTGTGAGAATGTAAACTAATGTCGAAGGAAGCAAGAACAAATCCTCCGATTGCAAGCTATAGAAAAAACTAAAAACTACTCAACCAAATTAAACCAAAATTTTATGGGACCAAATGGCAACTTATTCCGTATCGATGAAAACAAGAATCACGTAAATCGGTTCAGAAATCTCGGCGTAATCGAATTGAGAACCTCCTCCTTTTGTTGAAGTCGGTTAACAAGAAGAGTTCAAAATCAAATAATTTCGTAGAGCTCTTACGATCTGCTTGAAATCAAATGCTTAAGTTTATTATCTCCATTAATCAGCACTGAACTGGCCACAACGTATCTCTTGCCAAGTCTCTCGAGTTTTTCACAAAGAAGAGAGAAAATTCCTAAATGCTTTAATAAAAACTATCTTTATTAATAGACGTTTAAAAATATCACTGATTTCAAGCAGATCATCAATCGGATTCACGTGAAAAAGGTAGTCAGAGCCCCGATTACGGTAACTTTTAACGTCAACAATCCAGACACGCTTCTCGATTCTGCGATACGATTGGTCGTTCAACAGCGTACGTCAGCTGTTTTGACCAATCGTATCGCAGAATCGAGAAGCGTGTCTGGATTGTTGACGTTAAAAGTTACCGTAATCGGGGCTCTGAAGATCGCACAACATAATTTAAGTAACCTAATAACGTAGGAATTTAAAAAAAGTATTTATTGCCTTCGAACCAGAAGTAAGGACTAAGGATCCAAGTAGATTACGTTACTACTGGTCTAGAGGCAAGACTCAGACCCAGAGGTCCAGTGGGGACAAAAGTTGGAGGTAGTTAAGATAGCCAGATAGCCAGTTCCTATGTGATCGAGGATTCCGGGTGAATCTCGGCCTGATCATTACTTTTCATCAAGTGAGATACAATCAAGAGCTTTTGACATTTTTTTTATCCATAACAAGGCAGGTATTTGACCGCAATCGTGTCTGGTGTTAAATGAAATGCAGTCTAGGATGGTATATCCCTGTAAGTGCTTTGAAAAGGCCCGGATTATAATGTTCGGGAAAGACAGCAGGCAGCGAATTCCAGTCCCTAGCTGTTCGTATTAATATAAGAGTTATCGAAACACTTAGGCTGAGTTGCACCATCTTACTTTAAATCAAACGTCAAAAATATGTCAAAATCCATACAAAAAGCAAGTGTTATTGTAACTGTTAAAATAACGTAGTGCAACAGCTCAGCCTTAGAGCGAGCTGGTAGAATGTCGACAATGTAAGGATGGTACGCTAACCTGCGTCTGGTTCCCCGGTGAAATTAGGTTCTGAAATTCCTTCGATCATTCTCCGAACTGTAGCTTGTAGAAGTGAGTAAAAGAAACATATCTTGTGCAATCTTTTCGTAATTCGTTACAAATATATCTTCTTTTAACCTCGATTTGTTAATTAAACATTCTGTTACTAAGGAAAACATCGAAGACTTTGATCGTGTTGGAATTAAATTTTAACAGTAGGCTGTATGACTAGATGTCCTTGCCTTGGTTTTTTTTTTATTTGACATTTGGTGTCATTTAGTTTATTCTTTCAATCCCGCCTTTTTCGGTGGTCATTGTATGNCTAAGTTTATTACCTCCATTAATCAGCACTGAACTGGCCACAACGTATCTCTTGCCAAGTCTCTCGAGTTTTTCACAAAGAAGAGAGAAAATTCCTAAATACTTTATAAAAACTATCTTTATTAATAGACGTTTAAAAATATCACAGATTTTTTTAATCAGTTGTTAGAGTTTTAATAGGATTTCAAATTGATCCCAGAGGAGAGACTCAGAGGTCCTAGGTTCGATTTCCAGTTTTAGCAAAAGTTGGAGGTAGATAATAAATAAGATAGCCAGTTCTTCTGTGATCGAGGATTCGGGGTAAATCTCGGCTGATCATTACTTTCCATCAGGTGAGGCATTCAAGAGCTGTTGACATTTTTTTATGCATAACAAGCCTAGGCAGGTATTTGAAAACAATCGCACCAGGTGTTAAATGAGATGCAGTCTAGGATGGTACATCTGCGCTGTAAGTGCCTATTCACTCTCGCTTTGAAAAGGCCCGCATAGTGATCGGGAAAGACAGCAGCAGGCTGCGAATTCCAGTCCCTAGCTGTTTGCATTATAAGAGTTATCGAAACGCTTAGTGCGAGCTGGTGGAATGTCGACAATGTAGGGATGGTACTCTAACCTGCGTCTGGTTCCCCGGTGATGGAAGGCTGGTGAAATTAGGTAGTGAAATTCCTTCGAACATTCTCCAAGTGTAACTTGTAGAAGTGAGTAAAAGAAACAATATCTTGTGCAATCTTTTCGTAATTCGTTAGAACCTCGTATCTTCTTTTAACCTCGATTTGTTAATTAAACATTCTGTTACTAAGGAAAACATCGAAGACTTTGATCGACGCTAAAAAATGCATTACACATTGTGTTTAAATTATTTTCTCGTAATAATAAACATCTGCAATATTGCATCTGGTCTCAACGTACGATTAATGAAGCATTTCAGTTTGTGTAGAAATGATTAAAGAGGATTCTTTGAATGAAATAGGTAGCAACGAAAAACTTTACATAAGTAGATTTTGCTTAATGATTTTGTATTGGCACTTAATTTTAGAACTGTTTCAAAGCCTCTACTGCGCTATAACTAACCACACTTTTAAAACTTTTCACAAAAACGCGCCAATTTTGACAAGTGGCCATGTCCCATCGCTAAAACTTTTTATCAAAAGCGCGCGAATTTTGACACGTTAAGCTGCCATATTTGTATCCCCACGCTAAGTTATCTGTGCTAAAACTTTTTCCTGAAAGCGCGCGAAATTTGACAAGCGGCCATATTTATATTCCCACGTTTTATTATCTGTGATTGGCATGAAGCTAAAGATAAAAGTGGAGGGCAAAGTTGGAACAAAACTTGAGTCAAATACCTACTTATATCTATCTCGCTTTCTGTGGCCCTACCTCTCTTTTTAGTGTGAACTGTAGTATTGCTATCTTCTTATTTAAATCTCCTTGTAAATTCTTCGAAATAGCCAATTCACTAACCAACTAAGAAGTTAAACAAATAAATAATTAATATTTGAAACATAGATTACCTACTTAAATAAAAAATCACAAAATTGTCGGCNAAGTCCAAATTGTGATAAATTAAAAGTAGATCCTCCTCTCTTCTAATTGCAGTGCCCGACAGGGTCCATAATGATCTATTTAGCTTTAAGCCTTATCTATCCTATGTTACATTATGGTGATGCAAATAAATATCTATCTATCTATCTATCTATCTATCTACGGGCACGAAAGAGAGTGCCCGAGCGAGCAGCGCGTTGTAATCGGGTGCCGTGCGCAGTGCTGCGAGCGGGAGGAGCGCGAGAAGGAGACGGAAGATATGGCGGCGCCCGAGTGCGAGCGGGAGGCCCGCAAGCGGCGCGAGCGCAGAGATTCGGGCTGCACGCACGAGCGCAAAGAGCGACGGCCGCACAGCGAGGAGCGGACGCCACCGCCGCCGCCGCCACCACCTCTACATGACTGCAATCGCCTTGAGGTATGCTGCATCTGCCATCACTGTAGATCTTAGAATTTTAGCTTAGCGGTGAGTTCAAGTTTGTAGAGATAAATGCTATGTGCTATATTCCTTTCACGCTGTTTTTTTGTGGTGGTCGTATCAAGTCTTCTTAAAAACATAATACAATACACATAGGAAATTACTACTTACTTTCCTTTATGGATGCTGAACTGAAAGGACACATACTTTCAGTTCGTGGATTTTCAAGTGCTATAAGCCTAATCCAATTTACGCTGCACTCAAGCTAGAATGAATATTGCACTATGATTTTTCTTTGATATCTATTCTTGGATAATCGTAGTAAAGGGCTTTAAATAGCTAAAATTAAATCTCTCCATTGACGATGCTTTAGTCCTTGGCTGCTATAATTATTTGATGCAGTTTTCTATTATGCAAATATTTTGCCTTGTGAGGCCAATGCACTGCCATGGCGAGCAAGGACAGTCATGCACCCTCGGGGAAGTAGCTCAAGGCTTTGAAGGCCATTATACCTTACCTTGCACGGATGAACCACGCCACGATCGCTGGGTCAGAAAGACCCTAGAGCGGAGTGAACACCCGCGGCAGAGGAAGACCGCCTAAACGGTGGACTGATAACATCCGGCAACAAGCCGGAGTAAACTGGATGCAAGTGGCCAGGGACAGAAGTCAATGGAAGGTTGAAGAGGAGGCCTATGTTCTAAGACAAACCCCAAAGGCTGTTATTGATAGATAGACACCTTAATCCTTCAACAAAACTGAAACTGTCTCGTCATCAGCTAATCAAACATTAACTTACAACCAGTTCATCATCATCCATAGTCCACTGCTGAACATAGGCCTCCCTCAATGCTCTCCATATTGCCCGGTTGGTAGCGGCCTGCGTCCAGCGCTTTCTTGCTACCTTTATGATATCTTCGGTTCACCAGTTACCGGTTACAACCAGTTAATCGTTTTTAAAGGTGGTTTCCTCAATTCCAGTCAGAGCGACGAGCCGAGAGGCTCTCGCGCGCGCGTCGCCCGCAATATGGCGGCAAGCGGCGACGGGCACCCGCACGCATCCCGAAACATCCCAAGGAGAACGAATGCTTCACGACATCCGAAGAGACTCGGTGCAGCACCCCCACGCCTTTTGACTACGCACAGCTACAGAAAACGCAAAGTGAGTACCTACCTACCTTACTGTAACCAGAAATTAACGCCTCCGTATCCATTGGAGTTGGACTCTTACGAATTAGAGATACCTGTCTCTTGGTCAAAATATTAGTATGTACTTGAATCAATCGGTCCGTTAGATCGGTATCTGACGCCAATGACGTCACCTAAAGCCAATCTGTGGTTTCAACCCAGAAGATGCGAGAATAGTACAATGATGAAATAACCCTACCCAGCAACGGCTCAAATGTAACGAATTCTGGGATTTTATTAGCTGGCTTTTTATTGAACTGGCTTAATACAACAAATCAAGACAAGTGATGATTTATAAATAAAATCTTCCTACACACAGGAATTGAACTAATAATTCTAATTATCGTTCCAGCACTATCCGATGAGCCAGAAACATTGGACGCGGGCGCTCTCCAACGCCAGGTGGGCCGCACGGTCAGCGTCGAGGGGCCCGAAGACGGCGAGCTGTCGGTGAGCGCGCGGGCCGCCGCCGCCGAGCGGGCCCGCCGCGACGAGCGCTCCGTGGCCCCACGGCCCTTCACGCGCCGCGACCAGCCCTGCCCCGAGAAACGGCTGGAGAAGATCAACAAGAAGGTATGATTTTTAAATAACTTCTAATATAGAAACCATTGTTTTGTCACCTGTCATCCACTTTGCACTGCAGGGAAGTCGAACCTTAACTTCGGACTCCTCGTATGTTCGTCTGATTAATTTCATTGCGAGTACAATGTTTTCCCCGGGACAAACTTGATCTTCACTGGTTGGGTTTTTTATACTGGCTACACAGGAGTTGCAGCGGTCGGAACGAGAGTTGGGAATAGTCCCTTTTTAGCAATCTTTGAGAAACCATGCTCATTCGTCCAAATTTTTGTTGAGATTAGATCTATCATAGATAGAAAAAAACTTTAAATGACCATAGAAAAACTAACTAAAATATTTACAGCGAGATGTTCTACCTCATGGCATAAGCTCGCCTATCGAGTCTTCTTTGTACAGTGACATGTTCAGTGGTAAATTTATCAGACACACTTTTCCACGTGCCCACAAGCTCTATAGACTGAGAAAGCTACCAAACGGTATAATGGTACCGATCAATGGTGTATTTGAGTAAGATCTTTTGCTCAATACCTTAAATAACCTTATCCAATTTCCATTTTCCAGATCTCCGTCCTCAAAAAAAGCATCTCCAAATACGAAAGCGAATACGAAGCGAAGAATGGCCACGCTTTAACCCCTAGCGACCGCATAACCGACGTGCAGATGCTCCGCATGAACGAATCCCTTCGCAGGCTGCAGGCAGAGAAGCGCTGCATCAAATCAGACCCGGTGGAATATGCCCTCAAAGTGCAAGCAGCTAAGCAACAGAAAGAGAGAGACGACAAACTTGACGCAGTGCTGAAGAGCGATAAGCCTATGACTGAAGTCGTGAGAGATATAGAAGAGGTGAGTTACACTACATAGATTCTTAGAATAAATAAATAAATAATAAATATCATTGGACATTTTACAGTACGCTTCTAGTTCCAAACTAAGCAAAGCTTGTACTATGAGTACTAGACAACGGATATAAACATACTTAAATACTTTTTTTTTGTAAATACATACATATTATACATAGTAACACCCAGACCCATCACAGAAATTAAAATTCATCATTTCAATTTCTGCCCAGCCGGGAATCAAACCCGGGACCTCTCGGCATAGTAGTCCGTTCTGAACCACTACACCAAACGGCCGACATTATACTTCAATGATTCCCAGATAAACGTGTTAGTATGTTTACCAGTGGCTCGAGGGTTGTCGCCAAGCGGGGGGCCGCTCGACGGTCCCCGAGAACACCTGGACCGCCTCCCAGCTGGCGGCAGAGAAGCTATGCGTGCAGAAGGTCCTGCTTCGCCTGGAAGCGTCCCGGGGCCGGCCACCCGCACATTCCGCAGACCGTGGGGCCGCGAGGCACCTCTACGAGCGGTACAGAGCTGTGAAGCGAGCCTTAGCCATCTCCAGGCCTGATGCGGTGAGTCAAACGAATTAATGAAACTGATCTGTGTAGTGTTCCCAGCATTATAAATCAAAGCGCTGCGACTTCTACAAGCGATATAGAGCCTTAAAGAGGGCCTTAGTCATCACTAGGTCTTATGCTGTAAGTATGAACTTAACGTTGCGCTGATAGTAGCTGTGGCTCGCCTGACCTCGAATGCCATCGGTCTTCCGAGAAGCTGTGCGTGCAGAAGGTCCTGCTTCGTCTGGAAGCGTCCCGGGGCCGGCCTCCCGCACATTCTACAGACCGTGGGGCCGCGAGGCACCTCTACGAGCGGTACAGAGCTGTGAAGCGAGCCTTAGCCATCTCCAGGCCTGATGCGGTGAGTCAAAGGAATAATGAAACTGATCTGTGTAGTGTTCCCAGCATTATAAACCAAGGCGCTGCGACTTCTACAAGCGATATAGAGCCTTGAAGAGGGCCTTAGTCATCTCTAGGTCTGATGCTGTAGTATGAACTTATCGTTGCGCTGATAGTAGCTGTGGCTCGCCTGACCTCGAATGCCATCGGTCTTCCGAGAAGCTGTGCGTGCAGAAGGTCCTGCTTGGTTTGGAAGCGTCTCCATCGCGCGCATTCCGCTGATCGTGGCTCGGCGTAGCCATCTGTAGGCGATGCTGTAAGTCTGATGAACGATGAATAAATAAAACGAAAATGTGTGTAGTTAGTAGCCTTGATCTACCAACCGGCCCTGGTCATATCTGGCCAATACAGGGTATGTTTGTGGTGGTTAATAAGTTACTTACTGTTCCAGGTGATCGGCGCCAACGGCGAGCTGGCCACCATCCACGAGCACGAGCCGATGCTGTTCAACTCCAGCGTCGACAGCTCCAGCGACTCGCAGGAGAAACCATCCGATTCCTCTCAGGTACGTTTAGTGTAACCACCTACTTTGAAAGTGTGTGAAAATTGGAAAATTAGGCAGTTGCAGCGACTGTAGTCCGGTGACGGTTATTTAATCAGTGTTTCACTCTGGATGAGATCTACGATCTGATTGCTTCCGACTTCTATCTCATACCACCAAAAGTAACAAAACGTTATGCTCAAGCTGTCAGATAGTACATTCTAATTTGAATAGAGAAAATTATTAAAACGACAACCACGCTCGTGAATTCATCTTATTTAAGGCTGAATTGTATGGCCATATATTTAACCGTAACTATAACTTTAACCGGTGAGTTTGACAAATTTTGACAAACAAATTCAAATGAGATGACGTTTCCTAGGGTTAGAAACGTTAAACCCCACGTTGGGCGCCAAGATTAAGCCGTTGGTAATCACTACAGTTTTCAAAGGACAGAGACTAAAACACAACTATCAAACTGAAAATTCAATAGGTGCTTGAAACAACTGAGCAATAATAATAATAAATCACTTCCAGGACACCATAGAAACACCGCTGCAGTCGCCGCCGACCCGCGACGGCATCGGCGAGGAGGTTCCCTCGTCGACGTCATCAGCGCAGTCCGGCACCACCAGCGAGGAGGCCACGCCCTCCAACGAGGGCCTGCACTGCCTCGGCCTCGAAGACCTGGCCCGCGCCCTCAGCGAAGCCAAGCTGCAGAAATGCGTAAGTTTTTTATCCATAATTCTCCACGCGAGAACTTCTCTGCCCCAGTTGCGATCAGAGGGCTTAGTCCATGTCCAAGAGTCCATTTCATCCTAAATCCATGAAAATTTTAGTTTTTGAAAGTATTCGAGATTTAATGTCATTTTTTACGCGCTCACTAGTGACGATGTTTGATATAAACTCACACTAAGCCCCCCAGCTCTACGAACTATGTGTCCTGCCCATTGTACTCAAGTTTGGCAATTCTGCGAGCTATGTCGGTTAATTTGTTTTCCCTTTAGGGCTGATTTTACTATCGTCGGATAACTTTTCATTCTTTACATAATCTTCATGTCAAAATGACAAGTTTATTCTGAGATTAATATTTTACTCGTTTGGTCGAATCCACCCTTAGTTAATCCTTCAAGCTCCGCGAATCTCGACACAATAGATAAATCAATTGTTATGACATTAATTAATGCCGTCTGGGACTCAATCGGTTAATATCCTACAATTTTTGGGTCCCATTCATCATCATCATCATCTCAGCCATAGGACGTCCACTGCCGAACATGTTGCCCCATTAATTTATATTTTCTTCAATATTTGAGTTTATTCTTTAATTGTGGAATCAATGGGGGGATTTAACCATACGAGTAGAATAAATAATAGAGGTCAGAAAACTGAACCCTGAAGGAGATTGTATTAGATCTAAGCAAAGACCATGGTGCATCATATTATCTTTTTAGTAGCACATTTGTATCTTATTGTAAAATATCAAGTAACATAGTTTCCTAAAACTTTGCGATGTATTTAATAGAAAAGTTAAAAGAAATAGTGCTTTCTCAGTAGCCTTAACTGAATTAAAACGTCTAATTTTATCTTTTTCAGGTACTTCGTCGCAACATCAAAGAGTACGAGGTGAGTTTTGAACTGCAGAACAGCAGGAAGGTTCAGAGGGATGACAAAAAGGGGAAGGAGGAAGAATATCTTCGCTATAAAGCCGTCAAAGCTAGAATCAAACTGCTGAACGCTCTCATCAACAAACAAAAAGCTTTGGGATAAGTTATACTAAATTAGAAAGCAGTATAACTACTGATACACTTTCATTTAAAACCAAGGAGTCTCCGCCTGCTGTAGTAAATCCACAACCAACTACCTGTATAGAACTTTCTACAAAACCGTAAATGTTATTGATAATTTTACATTTTAAGGCCATCTTAAATCAGATGAATATAAATGTTGTAGAATTTCTAACAACAGATTTAGTTACCAATTTGCAAACAGATAAAAAAATACATAGAACTTGTAGTTAAGGTTCGAATATGATTTATACGCAAAATTGTATAGTGCCAAATGTTGTTGATCTATACAATAATGTATTGTACAATTTGAGTAGAACTATACCTTCAAGGCTTATTGTTCGTACTTTTATACGAATATAAAAATTACTACAAAAATTTAATAACTAAATAAGTAAGGGGTACAGTAGTGGGTACCAAGATATTAATTTATATGTAGAGTTACGGTAAATACGCATAAGGCCAATCAAAAATTTGAGCAACCTTGCGCGAAACTATATATCTATTACTTTCTCTTTATTTACCAGTGCATACCTACTAGTTTATAAAATATGTTGATGATATTATAAGAATTATTATCTATTTCTTACTGATCTTGGAAGTTTTTGGAACGGTGTTATTACTTCACTGCCCTTGACATATTATACATACTACCCAATTTACACATTGGATTCTTTCAAATACTTGTAAGTATTACTGGATTTGACAAATTTTAGTAACTAGTTTAATCTTATCTTTAGTCAAAAGTTAAGATTTTACACAAACTTACGCCAGTTTGTGTAAAATCTTAACTTCTGAAATGAATTGATTTGTGAATTTTGTCTATCAATATGGAGACCTATTCAAGTTTTGTAATTAACTATTCAATATTTGTGTAAACTGTATAAATAAATAGGCCTACTTAACTAACAGCTATCTAGTAACTCTGTCTAAACCTTTTCACGCCACGGAATGAATTTTGACGAATTATTGATTTTGTCTAAACTCCAAAGATTGGACCTTAGAAAAGGACATAAGCCTTATTATTACGAATGTAAAACCTTAAAAGGATGAAAAAGGGGATGAGTAAATAGGAATCAATGATTTCTTGGAAATACTAGAAATGATACAGATCAAGATGCCAAGCGCGAGTTACACTCGTGTGCAAAGGGGTACCTTGCATCAAATTGATTTCTAAACTTTATGTGTACCTATTATTTAATAAAATTTAAGTTAATATTGTAGATATATTCTAAAACATCTGGCTTTACACTTTATTGAAAAGTTTTGTCTTCCTTTTAAGTTACCACAGGTCCATTCTTTTAAGTACATATTAACATTTAATGTTAATTGTATGTTTTTTGTTTTGTTAATTATTTTTGTAAATATTTTATATGTAGTGTTATTTGTGTAGCATTCAATCTTATAAATATTTGTGACGTAGGTACCTATGCATAAAATATTGGCGCTTATTATTATGGCGAATCATTGTAATAATATTAAGATCGCGTAAAATTAGACCCAGCATTACTTTTGATTCATAATCATCAAATTATATTAGTTGCCACAGGATTTTTACCAGAATTGAAAGAGATAGGTACCTAAAATGCTATTAAGGTAAGTATTTTACATGATTTATCCAGGACCACTTCGTGAACTATGACGTCACGAAAATATGGTGAAATATGGAGCAAAGTGAGGAAATGTTAAAAGTTTCCTTCCACTAATGAAATTAGACTTGGTGATTTTGGAATGTGCGGAATTTAACAAATCGTGCCGCCTTTATGTTTTGTGAGTTGTGAGGAATTAATTGAATTATTGAATTTCGTTTCACCGAGATTGTGTTGTGACATTACTCACTCACTGGATGCGTTGTTGTGATAAGATATATAGAACTGTAACATGAAAGGAAATAGGGTAATTGCGCCGGTTTTCCGTCCAGCTCCTGTTTTCGTCCATTTGACCGACTTGCCACAAACAAATACGGAAAATTAGAATACAAACCTAACTTTCCGTGAAAGTTTGGACTTGTTACAATCTATAATATCTAAGTAACAGTTCTGCCTGCATGAAAATGTAATTGGACAAGTAATAACTCCAAAAAAATCTACGGAAGTTGCTGCTGCACACAGGTGAATGGAAAACGTCGTCAAGTTAGTAAAAAACGTGCCGGTAGGGAACTTTCATGGTATGTTTAATTACTGTTTTAGCTACTTTACGTAATGTTTTTGGCACGTATGTCTAATTATTAGCATAATAAACAAAAAAGTACCATACAATGGTATATATTTATAATCCTGATAAATGTAGCTTTCAGGACATATTTTTTTTATTAGATTATCTCCAATGCTTTAAAAGTAAATGACGTTTATTTAAAAAAATACTTTTTGGTTTTTGTGAATTTTACTCAATATTTCTATTTTTTTGTATGAAAAGGCAAAAAGTTTGTTCTAGAAATGAATTCGCCATTCTTTAATTATCCGAAAATGACACCACACTTGCCCTAATACCCATAGTTTTGAAGATATGGGCCTTAAAGTGAAGCGCGGCAGAAGGAAACTTGCCCCCCCTCCCCCTGCTACCACAGAGGGGGCTCCCGATGTCTACCGACGGAAATCTGCTCAGGAGCACCCAAAGAACAACTGGTGCAAAAATGAGCCTTCTATACCAAAGTGGAGGGGTTCTTGCACTAAATTCCCTACTACAAGTGATATCCTCGTAAGTAACTTGATAGGGTTTTTATTATTAAGCTGAACGCAACCGGTGCTAAGACAAGCGTGATTTTTCTTAATCATATTATCACAAGTGGAGGCATGGGCATTAAAAATAAGTTACAGAAGAGTAGGGTAAGTGCGCTAGTTTTCGTCCAATTATCGGAGTTGCCAACTTTGTGATGCGAAATGAATATCTTAAAATACCCTTACTCATATGTATGATATGTCATTTTAGTCCTTATATAGTCTACTTTACGTTAATATTATATGACAATAAGTAAATACCACGGGTTTTTTTATAAAAAATATTTTATGCAAAAGAGGCGATTTCACTAGTTTTCGTCCAAAAAAATCAGTTTTCGTCCTAGTGTACGCTAGTTTTCAACCACTGTGAAGAAAAAAGGTGCAGTTGAATTATTAACTTAAAACCAATTCTACAATACAGTAACTATGGATTGTCCTATACCAACTTCAGTAAATCTCCTGTGAACTGTGGGCTCAGTCACTCTTACTCCTCGAGTGTCTTTAAGGTTATTTCTGGCTTGAACAGCAGGTAACCGCGACTTTCTGAAAACTCGAAGTTGTAAAAAACGGTCATCCCGTCGCGAAGTACGCCTTTTTCTGACTTGAACCCTCCTCCTAACGACAGAAATGATCAATCTGTACCGTTGGTTACTGCCATGGGTGGTCGATACTGATCAACGACGTCTTACGGCAGCCGATTTGTATGCATGGCCGTTACTTCTCATTTCATCTGCCTTAATGATTTCTGACGGTGCTAAGCTGGGCATAATAAACCCTTATAAGTAACTGAATGCTTACACAACAAAATTCTCAGAAAAAAACATCTTTCACGTAAAAGAAATCCAAATTAGCAAAAGCTTCATTCAATTCAAAACACTCAACGAAACTGTTGATGGGGTAATTTAAACAAAATAATTAAAAAAATATACTGTTGGCAATTATTTTTTTCATATTTAGAATTAAATTAAAAAATAATGTCATAATTAGGCATTTTTTTCCTAAAATAATGATGATATTGATGCTTTTTTTTCCGTTCCTCTAAATCTGCCGGTGTGTGTAGTTGTATTTGTTTAGTTTCGAAGAAATATTCGATTTTGTGATTTTATAAAAAAAAGAGTTTTAGAAGCATATTTTCTAAAAAAATTACATTAAATCAGAATTTTGTAAATAAAGGACAATGACCATAAGTGGTCCAAATGTCCACCACTAATGAGACCTATATTGGCTTATAGTCCATCAAATAGAGATTAACTTTCAGTATGGGACGAAAAAAAAAATAAGCTGTCAGTAAAAAGTTATGACTGTTTGAAGTAGTGTAGTAGGTAGTTTACGCGCTAATCTCAGTCCGATTTGAAATTTTTTTTTTTTGTTATGGATATCCCATTTATCAAGGATGGCTTTAGGTTATACAACATCATCCTACAATCAATAGGGGCGGATCAGAAAAGATAAATGTTGTAAAAATGGGAAATATTATTCAAACTATTTTCACGCGATCAAAGTCGTAGGCACAGCTAGTATAATATTTAATAAAAATCATCTATAACCCCGTGCCACATGCGACATGACATAACATGCGTAGATTAGTCCAAAATGTGCGATGGATAGAATGATATCAAGAACATTTTTCGGATGAAAAGGTAAAAAACATGACTTTTCATTCAGTCATAACTTTTTACTGACAGCATATTTTTGATTGCGGTTTGGTTATAATGAATCAGTATTTAGTAGACTATTTTACTACATAGGTCTCGTTAGTGGTGGACATTTGGACCACACTCCATACATTTTTGGTCATTGTCCTTTACCTATCACTATAACGTCTACCTTTATGCAAAAATAAACGGTTATTGCTGCAGTAATTTAGGAATTATTTAATAATTTATGATTTTCAGAAAACATTTTTTTCTCCGTTGTCCTAGAAAATTGGCAGCTATATTTACTTGATATTGATGCATGGTATAATTATCTATAATACCTGAAAATATTACTTGCCTATCCCGTGGAAGTTCGAAGATAATTGAGTGATAGGTAAATTTATTTACAAAATTCTGCCTTAATGTAATTTTTTTAGAAAATATGCTTCTAAAACTGTTTTTTTTATAAAATCACAATATCGAATATTTCTTCGAAACTAAGCAAATACAACTACTAGTTCCTTCATCAATTTTATACATAATAGTAATATCTAACGATTGAATTAAGAAAACAGGGATGTCCGCTTCTAAGGGAAAATAAAAGACTGTGCCCTGTAGTAGGATCAGGTAGAGGTTCAATAAAATGATGAAAATTCTGCTAACATGATTAGCAAGGAGCTCGCAAGGCAGGACACTCGAAAGGATAAAGAATAAGAAGTCAATAAGTTACCAGTCAACATGGAAAGCATTGGGGGAGGCCTATGTTTAGCAGTGGACGTCCTATGGCTGAAATGATGATGATGATGATGATGATGAAGTTACCAGGCAGGTAACTAACACTCTAGACGTGATCTACAGCCCTATCGAGCTAACTGCGCACCTCGCTGATAGCGACTCTCCCTCGCACTCAGCCGCACACCGCGTTCGTTCCGTCTGTACCAGAGCGTCAATGTGACGTCACGGCTGTCAGGTGCGCAGTTAACTTGACCAGGTTTAACAGCAAGTGAGATTGTAGTAAAATGCAACAAAAATTTCTTATTTATTGTGACAAAAACAAAAATATCGGCTTATTACTCATACTCGCTATTTCGCTTGACCTAATAGTAAGATCGGTTAGGAATAGTTTGACTTCGCGACCTGATAACGAATAATAACTGAGATTACCGAGAACTTACGATAAAGATGTTTTGGAATTCTAACAGTGTGTTATACAGGGTGAAATTGCAAACAGTTGCAATTTATTAAATTTAAATAAGCTCTATAGAATAATATTACTTTTCGCAATTATTTTTAAACGTACTTAGTATTCTAAAGGCTTACTAATAGTAATTTTTAAAGGCTAACGCTTATTATCAAGCACCATAATGTCTATTAAGCTTTACAGTTAAATTAACTGTGTGTGCGTATTTTTCTATGAACGAAGTATATTATCCACGTGTGCCAATTTTGAAACCGCACGCAGTGGACAGAAATATTTAAATAATACGAAAAGAAAACAAATGTCTGTACGTAAATCGATTATGTTACTATTATACATAGTCCTGAGTCACTCCTAAAATGTGGTAACTGTTTAAAAAGTCACCCTGTATAGCAAGTTTAATAATTGGGGATTTTATCTGATTACACTGTGACTACTTGGGAAAGACCATTTGGTATGCTGTTTTTTTTA